AAGCCCTCTGCTTGCAAGGAGATGGCAGCTGGGACGTCTGTGTGGGATGAAGCGCTCCCCCTAGCGCGTAGAGCAAACGTTTCCGCAGCAGATCTGTGAAGTCTACTTCCAGTACACAGTGCGTGCCCCTTCATAGCACATGCGGGGAAACTCCTAGGCGAGAGTGAGTTCCGAGGGGACGCTTAATCTCATTTGGGAGGTGGGAGGGGGGTGTTTTGCCCCCTACCATCTACACCCCGATTCTGTTTTGATGTCGGGCCCAGTTTTACAAAGCTTGCAATTGAGTCGCAGTGCTTTTCCAGGGGAGTTCTGCCAAGTGTCCGTCGTAGTATTATGGGATGATGATGATCGCTATATGCTGCTGCCCGATTAAATAATATGAGAGCATTTCGTAAATCGGGACCGATACACAATGGCCTACTCCTTTTCACATGACATCACGTGATCTATAACGCACACTGTGAAGCAGAGTGGTATTCTTGCACATGTTGGCAGCAGCAAGATGTTCAGAAGATAAATGCCAACGTCGATATCTGCTGGCCACGACGAGAGGGCTTCAGGAGAGAGTCCGTGTAGTTTAAAGTGGACTACAGTGGCTTACCAAATGGTCCATAGTTCTGGTTGCACGACCACAACAGCGTTACTGCGGTTTGTCTTTAATTTCCCATTTATTAAGGAGATGTGCGCATCGGCCTGTTGATGTTCTGATGCAGTTGATGGTTACACCACCGGTGTCTTCCAGGAATGTCAATGCCAGGAGGTGCGATGGTTGTGTCTCGAACAAAGAGTTGATTCTGGATGTCCTGCGTTGTACCACTCTGTTCGCGCAGCAGACGCCTTCTGCCGGATCTGGTGATGCAGTTGATGGTTACACCACCGGTGTCTTCCAGGAATGTCAAAGCCAGGAGGTGCGATGGTTGTGTCTCGAACAAAGAGTTGATTCTGGACGTCCTGCGTGGTTCCACTCTGTTCGCGCAGCAGACGCCTTCTGCCGGATCTGGTGATGCAGTTGATGGTTACACCACCGGTGTCTTCCAGGAATGTCAAAGCCAGGAGGTGCGATGGTTGTGTCTCGAACAAAGAGTTGATTCTGGACGTCCTGCGTGGTTCCACTCTGTTCGTGCAGCAGACGCCTTCTGCTGGATCTGGTGCGATTCCAGGATGGTAACAGCAGCGCCATCCCTTTCGTGTCCAACAGATATGCCACAACAAACGTAAAATTAACAAACGGGATATCAACAGAAACGTATATGGTTAGCCCTCTACTTACGAACTGGCTCCGTTCCTGAGACCCGTTCGTAAGTCGCACGGTTTGTAAGTCGGGACACAAAAATGTGCTGTATTTAATTGCTCAACAAAACAGGGAAAGCATCCTTCAACTCATAAATAAGAAGAAATATTGTACATTTGCATGTAATACTGTGATAAATAATGTAGTAAATAAAACATTAAATAAAGTAATATGATGTGAAACAAAAAATGCGAGCTTGCTTGTCGGAAGGGGAGTGAATGAGCCCCCACAATTATACACACACACGGGGGAGCACGCACGAACACACAACAACGATCTCCTGTGTAGCCTTAGCAGACTGTTGGGGCAAGTGCTGTAAGCGAGCGCCTATGGAGGCCGGCATGGCACATACAAGGGTGTGTCCAGCACCACACCCGGCCGCCTTTGTCTCCTCAGTGGCAATGTTTACACTGCACCAGGGACTCGTTTGAGGCTGAGTCGGACTAGGGGAGGCTCAGATAACCGTCACGGGTGTTGGCCGTCAGCGGAAATCGAACTGGGGTCGCCGGGTTCGTAGCGCAGCGCACTCACCGAGATGCCACCGCATCCTCACACACAACACCCCCCCCCCCCCCCCAGTTCGTTCACGAGGCAAAGCCCGAGAGAAGGAGGCAGTAGCGTAGTAATGGCTCTAATGGCTCACGTGTGCGAGTATTGATCGTGGGCGGCCAGACCGCACACAATGGGTGGTGTCTCGACCACTGCAGAGGGTGGTCCTGCGCTGCAACTGAGATTCACGTCTGCGCGGACGCACCCCTTCAGCATTCACGGCCTCTTGGGGCAAGTGCTGTCAGCGAGCACCGGTAAAGGCCAACGCAGTGCAATCACGATCGATCACCTTTGTCTCCCTCGTGACCGTAGTGATGTTTACACACCGCAGCAGGTAGTCATTGAGCCGGAGGCGACCTAGGGGAGGTCCAGAACCGGTTTGAGATATTCGTCGCCGATGATGGGAATCAAACTCGGGTCGGCAGGTCGGTAGTGCGGTCGTGCAGCGGTTAGCGCGCTGCGTTGAGAACCCAGCGACCCGAGTTCGATTCCTGATCAACGGCCAACACCAGTGACAATTATTTGAACCTCCCCTACGTCGACTTAACCATAAATTAGTATTTGGTGCGATGTGTATATATCGTCACTCGGGAGAGAAAGGCGACCGGGCGTGGTGCTGGCCATCCACCCCCTCGTGTGCCGTTCAAGCCCTCATAGGTGCTCGCTAACAGCACTTGCCCCAAGAGTATGTTAAACCTGTACGGGGGAGCTTTGTCTGTGTAATTCAATGGTCGATGTTAAAACCAAAACAACCGGCCGCGTCATGGTGGGGAACGAGGCAACTGAGAGAAGGTGACAATCCCCCTCATTCATAAACCCAATACGTAACAAATAAACATTTTTTTAAATTTTCATATCTGTATTTCCACGTTAAAAAATACATTTTTTTAAAGTGAAACAATTTTTTTAAGGAGACATTGCTTTCTATAATGTAAATCGAGAAAGTCCATCTTCAATGTGGCTGTTTGGTGGATCATTGTATGAGCACGCATATGCACGTGTGCGTGTGTGTTTCCGCGGATCACTCTGTGATCATTATTTCATAAGTTTCCGTATAACAGGATTGTAGTGATAGATGGCGTGTCTCAGCATGCGCCTCATGTCTGGCTGGTTTTGCCTTTCTTTAATAATGCGTCTTGATCTCAAAAGTTGGTGCCCACTTTCCGTGAGATAGACTACGATGCACGTGGTGCATGTCGGGACCACACATTTGGACTTGCAATCCAGCCAGAGGTCTGGTACAATTTGCCCACTCGGCTGTTCATATAATTGGCAAGTTTCTTAAATCCCTCCACCTATACCCACCCAGCATTATAAATGGTCACAGCACAGTTAGTCGATCGGTAGGCAGATGGTGTGTGGCGAGTTAAAGTTTGGGTACTTCCACTTCCTCCAAGATGGCTATCCAGCACGGAAGAGTAGGCCAAGCGCCCACTTAGAAGGCATTCTCCACAGCCCCCTCTAGTGGAGACCCTTCCGCCAGCAGTGCCGTGCGCGAGCAATTGCAGGGCTGTACATTTACCCTGCAGAGGGCACGTATAAAATGTAGGACGTTGGGTTAGTGCAGCTGGCTGTTTGTTTATTGTAGAGCATATTACGCTGCTGCCCACAGAAGGACACGTGAGAGAACGTCAATGTTGTCTGGGCTGCGAAAAGCCAGCGTTTGAGGGATATGATCCACGAAGAATTTCCATTCACAATTAAGAGTCAACATAATAATATTTACTTTATACTGGAGGAATACGAGTAATCGGTGTGCGCTCTATCACAAATTAGCATATATATTCACCCTCTGTGCAGAAACAGCATCTGAGTAATTGGTCACGTAACGATTCATAGATTTAAATCGATTCTTATGATCATGATACTTGCATCGGATTGCGTTTGTTAGAATCGATTACTTATGATGCCTGCTCGTTCTAAGCAGGCCAGTGGAACGAGACAGAAGAAGCAAAATAAAACACACTTGACAAGACAACATGATGGGGGATATTGAACATTAGAGCAAAATAACGCAATCATTGACTTGTGACCTCGAATCATGCCAATACATTGACTTTCAGGGTGCGGTGGTGCATCAATACGTTCCAATCAATGATAGCACGCAATGGTGTGTGTATCTCGGAATAGGAGGGTAGTGTATTTACAACGAGCGATTTGTCGTCTTGACCATCAGCGGCTGTGGTCAGTCCACTCTCCACGTCGTCGCCACCGCCATCTCTCGCGGTTTCATGATTCCGTGCTGAGCTCTTCACTCCACGGAGATGTTGGTCATCTTCTCGGGCATGTACCCAACCTATTTGTCATCCCGTTTATTTACTCAGGAAAGCCCCACTGTGGATCGCATGGCTTTTTCCAGGAGGATCCTGCCAAGTTAGTTTTGCCGTAGGGGACGATGATTGCTATGTATGCAGTATTCCAATTGAGTAATTTGCGGTGTAGTTTTTCTAATTTGGGTCGTGACGCCGGCACACAATGGGCTACTCGGAAGCAGACAGTGCGTCTCTTTGGTTAATACACAAAGCAGTGATAACCATGGCGGCCTCTGCAACAGTGATCATCCCATCAGGCACATATTGTCCTGTGACTGATATTCCATAACCAGTGCCGTCCAGGTACTGGGTGGATTGGATTTAAAAACACACAGAGGTGGGCAGCATCGCGTGTACAAATGATTTCAGCCTCATCCAGACCACCAGCTCAAAGTAACTGTGCAGATTTTTTTTATTGAGACCACCCAACTCAAAGAATTGAGAAAACGTGGCCATCCCATCGGTGCAGTAATCAGCAACGAGCTGGTGGTTTTACACACGCAATGCTGCACACCTCGGTGTACTGTGACATTTCACTGCTTGGGGAGATCTTCATGCAGCAGCGGATTAACCACGGGTGATGATGATGTCGGTAATTGGGGCATGCGTGATTTTACAGACGCGGTTGTTGAACCGTTCCGATTGCTCTGGTTGTGGTGGTGCCGACCCGCAGCAGCGTGTGACTGGCGTGATGTGGTTGGGCTGGCGCGATTGGGACCGAGTCACGAGGTTGGTGCGGTTCTGCACAGGTGTGCTGCTACTGCTGCTGGTGGTGGTGCGGGGCTGTGCATGATTGAGCTGCTGGTTGCTGTGGTTGACGTCGGGGGGGGGGTGAGTGCGGAGGGGGGGAAGGGAGGCGAGTTGCCCGGGGAGCTCCGCACACAGCACACAGGCGTGGTGTGCATGCGCACAGCGCAAGGTGGACTTGCGTCCCTCCCTCGCCCTTCTCCCGTGCCCTCGGGGTGGTAACCGCCGACGACAAAGCGGGGGCAGTGGCAGCAGCTCTGGCTTGAGCTGCAAGGCAGCAGCGCATGCGAGCGAGACCAAGGAGGAGAGCAGGGGAGGAGGGAGAGGACGTGAGGTGGGGGTAGAGGGGGAGGGAGGGAAGGAGCGAGCGCGCAAAGCGAGCAGAAGAGCAGGGGATACACAAGCAGCCCGCACAATAACAAACAACATCAGCAGCAGCAATTAGAAGGAACCATGTCTCCGTCGTCAGCTGGGATGGAGGAGAGCCAGACGGAGACGGACACGAGAGAAGAGGTGAGAGCTGCAATCTCGCACGCGGAGAGAGAGAGAGAGGAGGAGGTGGAGAATGGGTTGTAATGTGTGCCGCGTCTCGCTGCGATTTCTACTCCGGTACGTCGCTGGAGCGTGCGCGACATGCCAATGTGTGTGTTGTGTGCGAGTCTTAGCCGATGATGGGAGAATTCGCTGGTTGTGCGTGAGCAGTGGTTGCATTGACGATTGTGGTGATCATGGGAGGGTTGTGTGCGTGAGCAGTGACTGGTCCGCGTTTGTCTGGGCGATGTCTGCACCGTGACCTTGCATGAGTGACCCCGCAAAGCACGCCCTGTTCACCGGCGTGCAGGTGTGTGTCTGTGTGTGCCGGTGTGTGTCTGTGTGTGCCGGTGTGTGTCTGTGTGTACCGGTGTGTCGGTGTGTGTCTATGTGTGCCGGTGTGTCGGTGTGTGTGCTCACCGGCGTGTAGGTCCGTGCATGTGTTGGCGTGTCATGAAATGCATTTCAATGCATATGTATGTGTGTCGGTGTGGCAGTTGATGTATGCTAGTATGTATGTGTGTGCAAGTGTATGTGTGTGTCAGTGTACTGGTAGATATATGCGAGTGTGTGTAGCAGTGTGTCTGAAGGTTATACGTGTGTCAGTTTGTGAGTATTGTAGATGTTTGCTGGTGTGTATACCAGTGTGACATCCAGATTTTGAACGTTATCTCATGGTATACATGGATTTGTGTTCGTGGGTTAGTGTGTGCTGGTAGGTGTATGTTGGTTGTGTGTGTGTTGGTTCATATCGTTGGTGTGAAGAAATATGAACACATTTTATTTTTGTCGAACTAAATTAAATGCATTTCTACTAATGTTATCACTTAGTACATTCACATTGGTGATAATTAGATGCCATAAATATGGTTTTGTTCACGATGGCTGCACTGCAGATCTGCTCGGATACACTATTCCTGTGAAATACATGTGTGTAAGTGTGTGCCCTGAATCTGTTACAGATTTAAGGCCTTGAAAAATAAAAGTGACAAATATGGTGCTGTGCGTGCGTGCCTGCAACCCAGTGTTGGTGCTGATGTGGCGGCTGATGGGTTTATGCTGGTGTCATGGTGTGTGTGTGTACATGTGTGCCAATGTGGATGTATGCCAATGTGTCGTGGGAACGGCAGTGTTGTGGGTAGCACGCTGACGTATGAACCCGGTGACCCGAGTTCGATCTGCTCATGGCCAACATCAGTGACGATTATCTGAACCTGTCCTGGCTCTTCCCGAGGTCGGCTCAGCCTCATTGAGTAGCCGGTGCCGGTGTCTGAACATCGCCATTCAGGAGACAAAAGCAGCAGGGCGTGGGGCTGTTAACAACAACACCCGACCCCCTGCAGCGCCATGGCGACCATCATAGTTGCTCGCTAACAGCACTCGCCCGACCAGTCTGTGTAGGCCACACCGGGGATGTGTGTGCATATGTATGATGGGATGTATGCCCGTTTGTGTGCCTGTGAGCCATCGTGCCAACAGATGCAATATTATGATGAACAAAGTCACTGACACGTTTACTTTTGACGATATCACCCTGAACGCGCCCGATCGCGTCCAATCTGAAAAGCAACGCAGGCGGGAGCTTGACTAGTCCCAGACGATGGCAGTATAACAATGCATTTCATCTATGATTTGGTTGCTGTCGCCTTACAGCCATGCATTCTACCAGGTTCTCTCGTTTCCTCCAAAATGGAAAGCACTCACTCGTGGGATTGGACAAACATCCCATTGCATAACCCTCCCAAATATTCATCCTACAAACCCGTGCGTCTCTCCCGGATAAAGGGCATCAAGAATGATCATATTATTGTTCAAATCAGTCGGAGACGTGTGACGGAGTGCGGTCACCTTGGGCCCTGGCTCAAGGAACTAAATGGGACCCGGTGTCAAATTCCCGTCTTGGTAGACCAGCCCCTGGGCCCCCCGTGGCTTTGGGACCACGGTGCCAGTACAAAGCCCCGCAAACTCGTTAGCTACACAGCTGGCTGCGTCCCACAACTTCTCCATTTCCCCGGCGTATTTTTTGAGAACACAATCTGACAATGTGGCACCATTGCACCGGCTTTAATCAACGTCCTGCGAACACGCGCGGGTTGTCGCTTCACAAATATGTCCTGCGCGCACTGCACCTCGGTTCGCGTTCGATTGCTAAGAGAACAACAAAAAAAAACACTAAATAACGCGGCAAAAAAATCAGCAGCAGCAGCAGTGATGATAACGTAAGCGGAACAACGCGTCGAGCGCAAACGTGCGCGCCCGCTCAAACATGAAAGCGTGCACGTGGGGCATGGAGACCCTTCCATATCCGCTGACGGATTGCCGAAACACACAGCCGCACGTCAAAAACGACTCCGTTAGAAATTGTTTTAAACGCTGAGTTCACGGGATGCAGGGAGATGGAGAGACGGCAATGTTTGTCGGTGGGCCTACTGTACCCCTGCTATCAATATTAATGTGGCTTAAAAGGAATGCTTTTTTCCGAACCATCCTAAGTGCAAACATCATTTAAAGAAATCCGTTTCAATTATTCAACGGCAGCACGTTATATAACTCAGGGCCAGGCTGCGCAGTGCCCCTGCACCTGTGCGACAGGGCGAGCGGGGAGCGCAGCGGAGGTGGAAATGACACTCGTCGCGAGCGGCGGGCACACATCGCCGTGTTGATTACACAGACAAAGATCGCCCCCATATCGCCTTAACAGACTGCTGGGGCAAGTGCTGTTAGCGAGCACGTAGGTACACGAGGGGGTGGGTGGCCAGCACCACGCCTGACAGCCTTTGTCTCCCCAGGATGAGTAGAGATATTCGTCGCTGGTGCCGGCCGTGAGCGGGAATTGAACTCGGGCGGCCGGGTTCGTATCGCAGCGCGATATCCGCTACACACACACACACACGCGCGCGTGCTTGCAGACACACAGACAACCACCCGTCGTACACAGGCTGTTGGGGAAAGTGTTGTTTCTGATTACATATTATTGCCGGCACAGTGCACGATGGGGTGGTGTGGTCTGCACCATGCCCGGCTGCCATTGTCTGCACCAGTGTAGTGGATGGCAGTGGGGTAGTGGTTAGCGCACTGCGGTAGGATGCCGGTTCACTCAATGTTCAACTCCGTGAATAACATCAGTGGTGAATATCTGAACTGGTTCTGGGCGTCCCCTAAGTCAACTTAGCCTTAGATAAGTACCTGGCATGGTATGCAAACGTCAGGAATGTATAGGGCACACACAAGTGCAGATATGCGTACACAGAGACACCGAGCCCCATACAGACTCCCCCAGCCAGTGCTGATAGGGAAGCAGGCATTCATGCGGCCACGGCACACGAAGGTGGATGCGTGGCCACCACCGTGATTGGTCCTCGTCAGGACTAGTTCAGATATCAGTCGCCACTGATGTCAGCCATGGTTGCGGTGCGTCACATGAAACGACAGATCGTTGTCGTCATCATCAGTAGCACCTTTATCACGTGACACGCCGCATGGTGTGGTTAGAATAGTGGCACAGTGCTGACCCTTGCGCCTCAGGAATAATTTACGGGGTTAAATTACCCGATTTGGGCAACTCTGTGTGCTCTCCCCATAGTCTACATGGGTTTACCATGTTCTCCGATACAATGCAACTGCTCTTGACCAAACATCCCAATTCTGAAATATGACCTGCCAATTACTCAATTCCGATGACACAACAGCACCATCGCCCCTCCCCCTACCCCCTACTGCGAATAATTTCGCAGGACCCTCCTGAAAAACGATTCTTGAGCCTCGCTGATGATTTCCCGAGTAAGCGAGCGTCGTCACGAATTCCCACCGGTTATCTCTCGGCCATCGTGGCGTCTAAGATGCGGTCCACGGACACGGAATTCTCGGCGGGATTCACCTAGGGGGGTGGGGGGGCTGGCCCCGTGCGTGGCCCCGTGCGTGGCCCGAGTGGGCCCCCATGACATCAGCGCTGGCGCTTTACCCCGTTGCCCTGACGCCGCCGATCTGTTGCCGATGCCTTGAGAGTCTGTCGAGTTGTCATGGCAGCGGAATAAATTATGGCCACCCCCCCCCCCCCCCCCCGTTCGTAACGAGCACACACACCTACGTATCACGAGACGCGTGCGAGGAGTGCTGCTGCCGCTGTTGCGCCGTTTTGGAAATGAAAAGGGAAGACATGTCCGAGTACATTGCGCGGTGATGTTCTCGCGCCCTTTGCGACCACCGAGAGAAGAAGACGGAGCTTTATTTGAGTGTTCAGTAATACATGGCAGCAGATTGAAGGGATGGGGATTATGCAGCGTGTGTGGCTGCTGTCCGGGTGGTTGCTACAGTGCAGTCGATACCTGCGGATGTTCTGCGCGCTCTGTGCAGCACGTGGGCAGCCGGCTACGAGCGAGTGTTTGCGACCGAGTTGGTCTTTAAATAAATGGCAACAAAAAAATTGAATGGTGAAATGTTTTACCGGAAAATTGCGGTGCATAATGCAGAGTAATAAAACTCGAGCTGATTTAAAATACAGAGCCAGGGGTACCTTTGGGACCTAAACGCACCGGGGAGAGGAAGGGCAATCGTCGTGCCGTGCTCAGGATGGACGCATCGCCATCAACACCTCGCGCATGCGACCATTCGCGCCGCTCACCCGCATCGCTCCTCATCCACCCCCCTCTACGGAGGGTCAACGCGCTACAATTCCAAACAACCGCGTCAGCCCACTGTTTGAAGGCCGCGGGCCAGTCGCACGTGTTTGTTAACAAGCCCCTGTACTTCCTAAGTTTGTTTCAAATCTCCACCGTTCCGATGTCGCCGCTTGCCAGCCACCGCGGAGGCTGCGGGCCCCTGGAGTTGCCGCGGTCACAAAGTTGGTACGGCCGTGCCAAAGGACACGCGGACCCAGCCGTCGCGGGCGTGCGGATGGCGAAGTGACCCCACGAGCGGGGAGGAAATGCACCATTGTGGGCCCAGTGCAGGAATCGCTCCTGGAAGCGATTCCGACTCGTTGG